TTTGCAAAAAATCGACATGTCTAACAGTACTTTATTTATTTATACGCACTTTTAGCCGTGTTTAATTGACGTTTGAAGATTGGAGGCTGCTGGCCATCTTTTTTTAAAGGGAAAAACATCCTGTTTTACCTGTCACCAGCTTCATATCCACCTGTGACCATCAGTCCATGCCTTACTTTGATTCAAAACGTGAGCATTTAGGCTGATTTAAGGATCCGTTTTCCATGAAGAGGACTCAATCTCAACCATAAACTGACTATGTAAAGGAACGAAGGATTAAAAACAACAGCAAATGCTGTTTTTTCTCAAAAACCTGATAATCAAAAATCTCGTTTTCAAGTCAGGAAACCTCATTGGTCACTTAACAAACAAGCTAATTTATTCCCTATGTATTTTCCATCAATCTGCTGGTTTCAAAACAGTTGTTCCATGGAAAATTTGATGCAATACTTCACTACTTCACTTTTACTTCCTGATCAGATAATCGAAGCAGGTTCGAAGAGCAATTATGACGTAAATCTGTTTGGTTTAAAAGTGGAAAAATGCCCCGAAAACAGCGGGATGAAACCTGTGTGGAGGCTGAGAATCCCTGACCCAGCTAGGCTCCTTTTCTAGATTTCCCCTCTTATGATGGCAGCAAAAAACACAGCAATGGGGTTAAATCGCCTCTAAAATTGCTCACTTCTAAAATCCTTTAAATGCTCGGTCTTATAGGGGTTGATGTGCTTTTGATGGAGGTTCTTATGAGTCGAGGGCTCCCCGAACATGGATGAACAGATTACTAAAATCTGAAATCCGCCTTCTGTTTTCTCCCCTCCCGAGCCCGGATCGTTTTCTCTGGATGTTCGTGGGATTTTCCTCACGAGTCTCCATCCATCAGGTTTCATCCCGGGGAGGAGGAGGAGGAGTGGGAGGCTGGAAGCAGCCCTCGTCCCAAAAGTAACATCCGGATCCCAAAAGCAACATCTCCTCTAATCTTCTGTGATTAGAGGAGATGGAATCAGCCTCCTACAAGCGTTCCCCCACACACCCTCTGGAGGATCCTCTCCTCCGAAGCGTCCCACGTTAGCTCGATTGGAACCATATTTTTAGGGCGTTGGGAAACTTCCAGCTCTGTTTGTCTCTCCACCCACAAAGGTCAAGGGTCGCGCTCCTGTTATTACAGTGGGGGAAATGAGTATTTGACCCCTTGCTGATTTTGCAGGTTTGCCCACTCACAAAGAATGCTTATTTTTCCTCATCAGATGGTTATCAATTTTTTATAAATTCATATGATGTGATTTTCTGGAATTTTCTTTGGGATTCTGTCTTTCACTGCTAGAATGTACATATGATTAAAGTTATAGATCGTTGCATTCTTTGTAAGTGGGCAAACCTGCAAAATCAGCAAGGGGTCAAATACTTATTTCCCCCACTGTATATCCTCTAAAGCCATAACACCCATGACGCATTCGCGGCCTTAACCCTGTAATGCCAAATGTATCATATTTGATACATACGGTTTCTGAAATGTTTTGCGTCTGACACCTTTTGCATAATTTAATGGTAAAAACTTTGCTCAAAATCCTATTTTACACAATCAGATACACCTGATAACAGGGGGCAGAAGACTACACGAAAAATAATCTTGACTTATCGCATAGTAATAAATTATTAATATAAAAATGTACTTCAGTTTTTTCTTTTGACATATTTTATTAAAAGGCCAAATAAGGAATTCAAACAAAAAAAAAAGTAATTTTCTGTTTTGTTTTATTCTTGGATCAGGCTTTAAAGGGTTAAATTCTCGCGTCTGAATGCTGCCAGATTCCAGGCGTTTCGTTTTCCCACGGGCCCCGAATGCACCGCAATAAAGGGGACAAAGAGGAAGCTGAACCAGTGCTTCAAACAGGGACGATCCTCCAAATATTTGCACCTGTTTTCAGCTCCATTGCCTTTTTAAAACAAAACTTATTCAACTATCGTCAGTCAACTGTTCGGAAAGCCTCAATAAAGAGGCCGTCCTGTTGCTTTTTGACGAAATAAGGCTTCCATGTGCGGTTACGATAGTTCTTTTTAAGGTTTTACTCTCTTCCTGTCCGTAGATTAGCATCGACAAAGCATCGCTTCACACCTGTCGCTCATGTTGTACTGCCTTGAAGACCTGAATGTTATCGGAAAATGTGAGAAAAAAATAAGAACAATGTAATTTCCGTTCTGTTCATTGCACTGTTGTTTAGATAAAACTCGTCGTTGCGTAAATGCACAACTTGGTGTATCGTTATTCTATTTCAGCTGTTAATAAAAATAGTTCCACTCAGTCGTGAGCATCCGTCTGTTAAACCTGCATCATGACCTTTGACCCCGTCCCAGGAGAGCTGAGCTTTAAAAACGCTCTGGATGTCGGAGAGATGAATTTCCCCCCCAAAAAAATTAAAGGAACACTTTAAATTTGTTTTTTAATTTTTTTAATTATTTTTTAATTATTTTTTAATTATTTTTTAATTATTTTTTAATTATTTTTTAATTATTTTTT